AGTTCATTGCAAACAAGTCATTCTGGTATTGTTGACACCTCTTTGACAGGGCCAGGCTTAGTTCCTGATCCTTCTGAACTTATCTTATCAAGACCCACTTCAACCTCCCATCAATACCGAACCCCCTCTCCAATTTGAGGGGCAATCTTCATCAAACAGTGACAGAAGACCATCTGCATTTAGCCTGGACTTTTTCCTGTGATCCTGGAATATCGACAGCCTATCACAGACAGCTAGAGTCCTTCTCTGGGACTCCTGGGTCCCGAGAACTAAGAGATGTTATCATTCCACCTGTAGTTGGTGCTTGGATCGACATACTGATCCCTTTCCTTCCCCTGCTCCCTTAGTCTTCATTTTTCTGTCTTACCTCTTCGATCTAGGGAAATCGTATTGCTCTATTAATCTGGTCCATCCGGCTAAATAAGCAGCTCACGTCCCATTTCAAGATTCTCCCATTGGACAGGATCCTTTGATCTATAGACTCCAAGGCATCAAACTTCTGCGTCCTCCAGCACCCAAATATTCACACATTTGGGAGGCTGATCTCGTCCTCAGATTCCTTCTAGATTCACCAGGCAATAAAGATCTCAACCTTTGTTAACTTTCTGCAAAATTCACTCTTCTCTTGTGTCTTTCCATCGAGTCTTAAGTGTTCAGGTACTCAGTGTAGATGCTTTTACCTTAGATCCGGAGGGGGTTACTTTTTCCGTGTCTAGACGTACTAAATCAAAATTTTCTAAGATTTTATTTTTTATTATTATATTCTTTATTGAAAAAAAATTGTTATTCTTCTCATATCATACAGTAATATTAATAAACATACATAAAAATTACAGTCCAGTTAGAGTGAGTTATAATTGTACAGTCAAAAATCTATTTAACCTGATATGCATGAATATTACAATTTGATTCTAACATAATACAACAACAAATGTCATACCATACATTCCATATACATGCCATATATACTAACATTCACACTTTCAGAGTGAGAAATCAATAGATCCTAAAGTAAAGAATATCTGTATCCACATTTATATATATGTTTATGTATATATGTAATTAGTAGAAAACCAATACCTTGTCTCCCAAACAGTATTAGATCATCTTTCCGTCATCCTATTAGCAGAACATCCCTATGTTACTCTCCTTTTCACCTTATCCAAATATTTAGATTATTCTAGTCAGATTTTACATGGATCTCTTCATGGATCTGTTACGCATTCTTATTTTGCTACTCTTATTGAACCGTACATCTCATTGAAGAAAAATCCAGATAACACTGAATATGTAGTTATAATAAGATATTGCAATTTATTAGGCAAGACAGACTGTGCTTCAAGTATATACCAAAGTTCGTCAACATATTGTGGATCTTGTAAATGATAAATGTGTCTTATCGTATTTGCATAGTAAATATAGGTAATGTTGTGAAAATTCAAACCCCCCTTTGAATATTTTTTTAGACAGAGTTCTGAAATCAAGCCTCAGTTTTTTGTTTTTCCAAATAAACCTTGAAAAAAAACGATTGGATCATGGTTAACCAGATCTTAGGAATCTTAAGGGGTACCATAGAGAAAAAATAAGACCATTGGGGTAATATATAATTATTAATAATATTAATTCTCCCTATCCAGGTTTTCTCCAAATGTTTCCATTTTTGTAACTTATAATTCATATCTTTAAGCAGTCTCAAACCATTTTTCTCTACTGTATCTCCAATACACGTCGGTACGATGATCCCAAGATATATTAATTCCATGTTAGTCCAAATAAAATTATATCTATGCCAAAGTCTATCGATCACAGAATCTTGTAAATTGTTATACATAGCCACAGATTTAGAAATATTCAGCTTAAAATTAGAGATTGCACTATAAGTGTCAAATTCTTGTATAAGGAATGGCAGAGATAACTCCGGCGAAGTAAGTGAAATTAAAACATCGTCCGCATATAATGATATTTTTATATCTGTATATCTCGTAGGGAAACCCTTAATATTTGGATTGTTCCTTATGCTAATAGCGAGAGGTTCTAACGCCAGAATGTATAAAAGCGGGGATAAAGGACACCCTTGTCTGGTACCATTTCCAAGAGAGAACCATCCTGCAGATATATTAGTTATTTGGGAAATTAATTATTGTCTACTATTTCATTAAACATGTCCTTTAGAGGCTTCACTAACACAGACTTCATATGTTTATAAAATGCATTTGTATAGCCGTCAGGGCCGGGGTTTTTATTCCAAGATATTTTTTAAATTGTTGTTGAACTTCCTCACAGGTAAAAGATGTATTCCAAATGACTAATTCTTGTGGCCAAATCGTTGGTAACTGAATATTATCAAGGTATTTTTGAATATCTGTCTGTTAAGGGGTATATTTAAGATTATACAGTTGCTCATAAAACTGATTGAATTTTTCCCCAATTTGTGATGGGGTGGAATATATATTTTGACCATCTATTAATTTTTCTCCCCTATTTCTAGCTTGATGGATTTGTAATCGTTTTGTTAGGTTTTTAGAAGCTCTATTTCCCATATGGTAATGGTTCAATTTTAATTTATTTATATTTATTTTAATTCTCTGTTCTTCTTTAAGATTAATTTTATTTTGTATTTCTTTTAGTAAAGCTCTTACTTCCAGAGAAAGTTGTTTTTTATTTAAGTTAGAAAGCCTATAAAATTCTATATACAAATCCGAAAGGGACTGCCCATTGTTTTTCTTATAAATATGCCCCATTTTAATTAAATAACCTCTTGTCACAACTTTTTGTGTACACCAATTAATCGCACAAGAAGTATCATCTGGATGATTTTCTTCAAAAAAATATGTTAATAAATTCATTAGATATCCTCTATTCTTTTCATCTTCCATTAATACATAGTTAAGTCGCCAAGTGGTAGTATGATTGGCCCACAGATTTTCCTTTATTTTAACTGTTTGAAAAAGTTTTAGTGAGTTTGGATTAGTTAAACATAAATCAATCCTTGAATATGATCCATGAATGTGTGAAAAATGAGTGTAATCTCTCTCCAAGGGATGAAAAGTACGCCATACATCAAAAAGATTGTGCAATTTACATATCCTACTCAATCTTTTGGCTTGTTTATATACTCTTTTTTTTATCTATGCTGGCCAATGCGGGAGATTGTTTATCCATATTTGGACTTAATATGCAATTAAAATCTCCCTCAATGATCAGTATTCCCTTGGAAACTTTAGCAACCTTGGACATTATCTTGGAAAAAGTAGTCATTGGGTCTACATTAGGTAGATATAAATTGACCAAAGTATAAATCTTATTATCAATACTACAAACCAAAATAATATATCTAGCCTCCTTATCCCGTTCACAATAAACAATGTCCAAGTTAAGATCATTTCTAAATATAATAGCGACACCTTTTTTTATTCTATCTACTAATGAGGCGTGAAAAATCATTGGATATTGAGTCCCTCCCCACTTTTGTTGAGAATCTCTAAGCCAGTGAGATACTTGAATAAATGCAACTTGAATTTTCTCTTGGATTAAGGAATAATACAAGCTATTTCTCTTATTGGTCGTATTTAACCCCTGGACATTAGAACACATACACTTTAACATATATACAATTCAAAATTTGACTGCCCACCTATCTCACTCTGAAAAACACACATACAACATATCAAATATACAGTTCAGAGTGGCCAGACCACTAAGGGTTTAGCACATCCAGAAAAAATAACATACCGTCGGAAACAAATTCTAATGTATCCGTTAGAGCACATAGTGCTCTCCGGAAAAAATGTAGTGTAACTACATATAGAGGGGAAACCTCTGTGGGGCATCAAAATGGCATCTCACCATAAGGGGAAAAAAAATTATATATATATATATATATATATATATATATATATAACATTATTTATTATTAATCCCATACTCTATTATATAGGATTATTTTTTTTCCAAGGAGTAAGAGTGTGGTTTTATATATAATCAAGCTCTTTGAACTAGTATAGTATAAGCAGACCGTTAGTTAGTAGAGTCTTGTACCATAATAATAGTCTGTTGCCTATAAATATTAGTAAAGTGCAGTAGACCTATTATTCCCTACTAGGTAGCATAGTTTATATTTTAACAACCATTTAACTGAGATAAAATCTCATATAGGATTATATATCTGTGTTGTGAATATTTTATCAAATACAAGATGTAGCTAATCAAATATCTGTTAGTGGATTAAACTATTAATAAATATATTTTCGTGAACAGCAATCTTATCTCTTTATAAATTGTGCAAAAAAATAGAAAAATAGAAAAAGTTAGTGTTCCAATATATTAATTGAGCTCTTTATAGCTATGTCTTAATAATAGTGGGGAATATATATATATATATATATATATATATATATATATCCAGTCATATGAGTGAAACTTATCCTTATTACCCCCATGTGTATCTATATAGAATATGTTTATATTAATAATGTGTCACCATAGAGTCGAATCCTAACCGTCATAATACCCAAATTGCTGAATACATATCCATCTATTTCAGAAAATAATATATCAATTTGCATTATTAATTAATCACCACTGTTAAAAGTACAGACATGGAAAAACAAACAAAAAACTAAGAACTGAATCCCCTGAGACTCTGTAACCTTAATCTACTCACAATTGTTTCAAATTTAACCACTGTGATAATTTTTCATTAGATCAAATGTCTCCCTCTTGCCCTCAAAGGTAACGCTGATTTTCAAGGGAAATAACCTTTTATATCTGATATCATGAGTTCTAAGAATTTGAGTAGAAGTGCTAAAAGTTCTTCTTTTCATTCTTGTGTGGTATGATAAGTCCTGAAAAACCTAATTTTTTTTAAATTGACCTGTTGTTATCGGATTTTATCTTACAAAATGTAGAACTGTGTCTTTAAATTCGGACGAGAAAAAACAAACAATGATGTCTTTCGGTAAGTCTGCTTGAAGTGCTTGAGGTTTAAACAACCTGTGACATCATTTTATTGGTTGATCTTGATCTTTGATAGGGATATTCAGCGCTAGGAAATATTGATGTAACATCTGTTTTAAATTTTCCTGTGTGCCTTTTTCCTCAAAATTTCTAAACCGTAGATTATTTTGTCTACTGCGATCTTCCATTTCATGTATTTTGAGCTCAAGTTCTTGTATCTTTTGATGTATTTTTACATTATCATCTTTAAGGGTATTGACATGGAAGTCCAATGTCGAAATTTGATCTTCAAAATTCTGAATTTTGACCGTAAGTTTAAACATTTCTTGTTTAATTTCGTTTTTAATTTCAGCTGTATTTATCATCAAGATATTCTTAATTTCAGCCAGATTTTCACTGAAACTGGCCTGTAATTGAGACACAGTAATCAGCTCTTTATTGACATCTTCATTTACAGTACTTCCTGTGGTGGCAAATGATTCTTCCATATTTTGTTTGTTATTCTTAATCTTGTCCTTCTGTTGTTGTGGGGAAAAATATATAGACATTGATTTGTCTTGCACTAAGTCCTTTTTGTCCTTTTTCCCAGTAGATTTAGTATCCTGGGCTTTTTTTGTTGCCATATTGAGGTTATTTAATTAGGCATTTTCTCTCAATTTCAGCAATTGATATTAAGCTAGTAGGCTAGCATTACCATTTTACCGTCTTAAATATTTGCTGGTATACCAAGATTTTTACATTTCGGTATTACGGTCTCCCCCTTAATATATACAGAGGTTGTCTAAATACTGAGCACCAATAAACCCTATAGGTTTAAAAAAGAAAAGTAAAGATGATAATTATTATTAACACGCGATAAAGCACTTATCTTATATGTCTGTCTCTTATTCATGAAAATCAAACAATGATGAAGATGAAATTCTTAGGCCACAACATGAGTCAAACTTCCTCACTTTATTGCAGCTTGTATGGAAATATCAGATATTTGGCACTGATTGTCTCGAATCCGAGGTAAAATTATTGACCCTCATAGGGGTAAAATATCATACCCGAATTCCCTCGACAGAATCGCGGACCATGGCTTAAGGACCGGAGAGCAAATCCGCCCTTATCTAAATTTCTGTGTATACCGAAAGAATCTTGGTCTTTAGTTCCTCAGGCTTGTGGTTTTCATTAGGCAGGGTGTTTCACAGGGGGGCTGTGGCGTTCCAACAGTTCAGCGTGGTGAGATCATCTATCACCAATTAATAGATGGTCCGCAGAGACCGCCCCTCCTCCGCCGTCACAACGCCCGCACGTCCGTCGTCAGCACGTCATGACGCTCCTATGTTAAAAAACTATGGTGACCATTTTTAAGGGCTGTTTTAACCCCTTAAGGACACATGACATGTGTGACATGTCATGGTTCCCTTTTATTCCAGATGTTTGGTCCTTAAGGAGTTAAAGATTCTCCTAACTTTGTGTAGCCTATGCACTATCTCGCTACACAGAAGTCACTGTATCTCTCTGACCCTCTTATTCTTGTCAACTGTTAATCTCCTATGTTCGACATCACGGCCGAATTTTATCTACTACCTTGGATCGTTGGATCAGATGGTTGCTATTCCTAGCAGCTATTGAGTCTACCCTTGGAGCACACTCAGTCAGGGGAGTGGTGACTTCTGGGACTTTAATGGCTGGGCCTCCCTGCAGGACATTCTCCGATCAGCAGATTTGTCTTGTGATGATACAATGTGACATTTCTGCTTTTGTCCTACTGAACATGCCTTTTTTGCATTGCTGGATAAGCATTAAAACAGCAAAATATTAAGCCTCTTGTCATGTAATTAAAATGAAGATAATGCTAGCTTTAGTGTACATATAATCTTAATTTTATAAAGAACAGGAAGCAAATATTTTCCCTCCCATTTTCTCCCAACCCAGGTTTTTTAGCATTGGATTTGTATACTAAACGATATGCAACCTTATAGTATCTTACTATTATATTTTATCAGTTATTTAATGTGTTTGGGATTTATTCTATGACATATGAATGGTTTATAAATGTATGACATCCATGTCGTTTTTCAGGTCCATTTCTTTGATTAATCCTTGTTTTTTGACTCTCTCCTCTCGTTTCAGTGTAAAGTTCATCACAGATGTCGTACCTAATGCCTTATTCTGTTGCCTATTGAAATTTGTGGATTTTCCTGTTGATTACTTTCCAATGGATTCACCCAGTTTTGGTTGGTCATCTGTTCCTGTTCGATTCTTTCACAGCATGGAGGATGAGTCATCAGAGGGAGTCTTACTACCTCTGTTGTTTTCTGATTGGTTGTTTCTGTTTATAGTCAAACGTGTGCTGCTATGGGGTTTTAGCAAAGAAAGTTAAGTAAAATATTTGCCTCCTGTCCTTAATAAAATGAAGATATGCACACTAAAGCTAGCATAATTGTATAGTAGGTCTAAGAACTCATAATCCTTAAATATCCTTTAACACTACTTTGCCAACTTGCAAACTATTCATTGATGTCCCAGGACATATACAAAGGTCATTCTCCATAGCTAAAATATCCCTCTAACCAACAGTTAAAGGGATATTATAAGCATGAAAACAATGTTTTCTTAATGATGCAATCTATATATAATGCCCCTAAAGTCTCACTGTTCAATCCTCTGCATTTTAGAAATGAAATCACTTTTGTTTCTGTTTATGAAGCCCTAGCCATACTTCTCCTCAATCAGAATTTAACTTAGTTTAGAAGTAAAAACAAAAAAAAAAAGTGTTAAACATAGAAACAAGTTTTATTGTAGAAGTATAAACTACAATAAAAAGTAAAATAAGAAAAAGACAACATATTTTTAGTTTTGTAGCATTTCTTCACAACCAAAATCTTCTATTCCCCTTGTTATTATGTAACCCATCATTGCACAATTTTTGGTCTAATAATATCCTTCTTTAAAACAGGTGTTCAAAATTGCAGCACATATTAAAGGTTTGATTTCATCATTGATTTGTAAAGAGACAAAACTATATATTCATCTCTTGAAAGTCTACCTCTTGTATGCATAATGTCTCAATGGCCTTAACAACTACTTTTTGACATTGCACATTATTGCCTAAACTATCATCCATAACTATTCGTAGACCCTTTTAATTTGTTTTCCCTAACTCAGTGCCAGTTAGGGTATACATTGCTTGTCCCATGACCCAAAATTAATTAAATCACATTACATTACATTAAATCTTCTCACCTGTCACATGAAATCTTAATCCTGCTTGCACTGCATTACCTAGTTTTGTGTCATCTGCAGACACTGGAACATGACATTTGAGGTCAATTGCAAGATCGCTAGTAAAAAGTGAAGTAGACCCAGACAAGACTCCACTTAACACTTTTGTCCAACATTTCCATAAAATAAAAATCTATGCTAATGTGTTATCTAAGAAGAAGAATTATCATAAAAACAAATGTTAATATTTTAATTTCTTTAAAATTCAAGTAGATCACATTCACCACAATACTGTAAACAATTATTATTCTGGTGTCATTAGAAAATGCAATGAATTTAGTCGGGCATGATCTATCCTTTATAAAACTAGGCTGATTAATATTAATGACATAATTCACAATGCATTTTTGAATATTATCCCCTGATAATTCTTCATACAATTTCCCAATCACTGAGTTTTTCTACTATAATAAACTAAGCTTCCAAAGTACCCTTAGGTGTATGCCATATGGTCTTAGGCCTTTGTTTCTATAAATTGTATTTGTTGTAGTGCATGGTCCTTAAATTCCCTGTTAAATTATTTGTATAATGCCTTGAGTAATTCATCACCCAACTTTTGTTTAGTATCTCATAATTTCATCCAAAATAAATCATGGTGCTTTGCAAACGCTATCTGAGTCATTTAGATAAAATGAAAACAACTGTAAAAAGACTCTACACCGTGTTTTTAAAAAATGAAATATGTTCACATGTAGCTGACTGGTGGAAAATAGACAAATTAAAAAAAATATTTACAAACAATGTTATTCAAGGATAATTTGACAAAATGCCATTTTCTAATTCTTAGCATTCACCCAGCCACCAGATCAGAAAGATATTTCTTTAATGTATGTTTTTTCTGACTTGCTTCTCCCTTCCTACCTTTTTGCTTTGTCCCCTATTTCCTCCCTTTATTTGTAAGCTTCTTAGTTGTCTTAAAAATCACTTTGAATAACATTCTACACTAAATAGAAAATTAGCACTATTATGAGTTTGGGGACAGGTAATTTTTTTTTTTTTTATATGGGTATGCTATATATTTATTGTGCAATCTTATTACCAGTATACCTGTATATAGCTAATAATATCTGAAAACAATCAAAGGTAAAGATAGCTGTATTAGAAATATAAAATAATTTGAAAAATAAATGAATAATGTGTCACCCAAGCTTGCCTTCCTCCAATTGTTCTTATTTTCTAACTTTCTCTTTTTCGAGTAAAATACATAATACAAGATAGTGGCTACATTGCCTTATGTAATTTCCTTAGGTTGACAAAGGGTGGAGCCTAAGAAGTCCACATCATTTGTCAAATACAATTTCCCCACAGTACTGACATCCCCACTGTGACCCTCATCTATAATCTCCATCCACTGTCCTTCCCTAAACTTTACGATTGCCCTGTTCTTTTGGATTATTGGAAGATTCAGCAGCAGAAGATCAGGTCCAATAAAAGAAGTACCTTTTGTTAAAAAACAAAACAAAAAAAACAACAATATAAGCAAAGATAAAAGGTAAAATAATTATATAGAATGGTATAATAGTACACTTAACATGTTTTTTCTTTTATCTTTGATCCCCCTGCTCTGACATCGCCTGACGGGGGAAATTGATTTTTGAAAGAAATTTATTTACAGTTTTTTTGCAACTTATTTTATGTTCACTTAAATGTCATATTAGAGATTCATTGAAAATGCACTGAAGTTGATTATTTTTCTTGAAAATGTTGTTATTAGTAGTATTTATAAAATACCAATCTATTATGCAGTGGGCAGAAGGGGAGACAAGTACGTTCAACCAGACAAGTTTGACTAATAGCGTATGAAGACTTTGCTTGGATAGGCTTATTAACTAAAGGTTTAAGGTTGCATTCTGCCGTGTACTTTTCTTTTATCCCATCCATTGACTTTTTTTTCCACTTATCATCGATATGTTCATATTGGCTAGTGTTGTTTTTTTTTTTTTTAAAGTGTCTTCTGTGTATTGTAATGTATAAACCTGTGCAACATATTCTATCAGTCTTGAAAATATAGTTTAGGAGTTCATAAACAGTAATTACATCTAAGAGCACCAGCACATATAAATACTCATGTATTGGCTTTTCCATAGAAGTGCCTTCCTTATCTACATGCCATGAGGCCAAGATGCCAAGAGATAGTAGACTTAACCAGTAGTCCAGTGTTATGCATAAACTAAAAGAACTCAGGTTACACAATATTAATTGTTCTAAAGCTGAGAAATATGATCCAGCTATCCAGCTTTATACAGAGGTCGTTAGCCTCTACCCTCTAGAAAAGAAAGTAGATTTTTCAGTACAAGACCGAAGTAGAAGAAGTAATACAAGTCTGCACTAAATTTGCAGTTTAAATTTA